CGTGACCACATCAGACAAAAGTAACAGAAGCCTTTATTTATCTAACAGCCGGTACTTACTGAAATCTCCCCGACTGCCTCAAAGGCAGTCAGGATTCAAACAAGATCTACACATTTTAATCTGGTTATGACCTGTTAAATCTCTGCTCCCTTATATTTCTTTTATTTTATAATAGTCGCTCCTCTCCCCTCTCATCCTCGTATCATTGATTTGTTGGAGAATCAACAAATCTCCACAATGTTCCACATTTTGAACGTGGCTCATTGCTGTCTCCTAATGTCATTTAACTTCTCCTCTACCTCTGCATTTCCTGTAAATTGGTAGTTACATTTGGAGACTTGATTAGATTTGGTTCATTTTATTTTCTGCAGGAATATGCCACAGGTGATGCTGTGCCCTTTCTATTGTATCACATTAAGGGGCACAGAATGTCTGTTCATCCCACTTACAGTGAGGCTAAGATTGATCCATGGGTTCAGGCAATAAGACGATTTTCTCAATTGTAAACTTCCCCCGCCAACCTTTAATCTAATTGCTTTAGCACCCACTGAAGATTATTGCCTAGCTCCATTATGTCTTCAGGGGTCACAAAATAGTGATTTTCTAATGCTATCATTTTTTCTACAATTATTAGCTGGACTTTTAGTGTTAAGAACAACACTTCTTTATTAACTCTTTGAGAATCTTATAAGGCAGTGTGTACAGAAAATACAGGAAAAAAATGCTTAATTCCTTATTTTTGGAGTAATGAGACTAAATAAGTAATGATGCCCCACTAGTGTCCAGCTGGTGACCAATGTGTTTTTTCCCTTGAGTTCTTTATGAACTCATAGATTTTTAATCTATTTGATGGGTTGCAGTAATTATTTATCTTGACTCCTGCCCAAAATTCCTCTTTCCATACCAGAGAGAGGCCCTTTAAGATGGTTTTACAATAAAAAGGTTTATTTTATTTATTTGAAAGGCAGAGCTGCAGAGAAAGGAAGAAGCAGAGAGAGAGAGAGAGAGAGAGAGAGAGAGACCTTCTATCCCCTGGTCTACTCCCCAAATGGCTGTAACAGTCACAGATGGGCCAGGCTGAAGCCAGGAGCCAGGAGCTTCTTCCAGGTCTCCTATGTGGTTGCAGGGGCCCAAGCCCTTGGATGATGGTGCTTTCCCAGGCACATTAGCACAGACCTGGACCAGAAGTGGAACAGCCAAGACTCAAACCAGGACATATATGGGATGCCAGCGTAGCAGGCAGCAGCTGTACCCACTATGCCACAATGCAGGCCCCAAGATGGTTCTTTTATACTTTTGACTTGACCCATAACTTCTTCTTTTTTTTTTTTTAAGATTTATCTTTATTTATTTGAAAGACAGAGTTACAGAGAGAAGTAGAGACAGAGAGAAGTCTTCCATCCGCTGGTTCACTCTCCAAATGGCTGCAACGGCCGGAGTTGTGACGATTTAAAGCCAGGAGCCAGGAGCTTCCTCTGGGTCTCCCACGTGGGTGCAGGGGCCCCAGGACTTGGGCCATCTTCCTCTGCTTTCCCAGGCAATAGCAGAGAGCTGGATCGGAAGTGGAGCAGCTGGCACCAGAACAGTGCCCATATGGGATGCCAGCACTTCAGGCCGGGGCTTTAACCTGCTGCGTCACAGCACCAGCCCCTTGACCCATAACTTCCTTGTTTCCCAACCCAAGAAGGGGAAGCCTCATTGCGGCCGAAACCCTATGGGAGGAAGCAGCAGGTATTCCCCATCTGATGTGCATTCCAGGAAGGCCATGCACAAGAGGAAGCTCTCAGCTCTTCAATCCACGGTTAAAAAGAAGGAAGAGAAAGTTCTTGGTACTGTCACAAAACCAGCTGGTGGTGGCAAAATGCCTCGCTAGTACCCCACTGAAGATGCTCCTTAAAAGCTGCTGAGGGTTGGCAAAACACCCTTCAGTGAACACGTGAGGAACCTGCAGGCCAGCACACCCCCAGGGCCGTTCTGAACATCCTCCCCAGGCACCACAGCGGCGGGGGGGGGGGGTTGTCTTCCTGCAGCAGCTGAGCAGTGGCTTGCTACTTGTGACAGACCTCTTTCCCTCAATGGGGTTCCTCCGCGTAGAACACTCCAGAAATTTGTCATCACCACCTCCATGAAAATTGTCATCAGTAGTGTGAAATTCCCAAAACACCTCACTGATTCTTATTTCAGGACACAGCTGCAGAAGCCGAGACACCAGGAAGGTGAGATCTTTGACACAGAAAAAGAGAAAAATGAGATGACAGAGCAGCACAAGGTTGATCAGAAAACTGTGGACTTGTAAATTGGACCAAAAATCCAAGCTGTCCCTCTGCTCTGGGGATACCTGCAATCTGTTTTTGCTCTAACAAGTGGAATTTATTCTCACAGATTTGTGTTCTAAATTTCTTAGGAAGAATCTAATTAAGTAAGTAGTAACAAAAGCCAAAAAAAAAAAAAAAGTTATGAAGGAGTGAGTGTTAAGATGTCCCTTGGGAGTCTGCGGGCCATATAAGAGTGCCTGGGTTCAAGACTTGGTTCCATTTCTGGTTCTAGATTTCTACAAATGTGCAGCCTGGGAGGCAGGAGATGCCTCAAGTAGTTTGGTCCCTTCCACGCATGTGAAAGAGCTACACTGTGTTCCTAGATCCCAGATATCTGGAAGCACTCTCTATCTCTATCTGTATCTACATCTCTATTTATCTAAAATAAATTTTAAAAGTTGGGATGGGGGGCAGCGGTGTTGTGGTGTAGCTAGTAAAGCCACCGCCTGCAGTGCCAGCATCCCCTTTGGATGGTTTGTGTCCTGACTGCTCCACTTCCGATCCAGCTCTCTGCTACGGCCTGGGAGAGCAGCAGAAGATGGTGCAAGTACTTGGGCCCCTGCACTCACATGGGAGACCCAGACAAAGCTCCTGGCTCCTGGCTTTGGATTGACCCAGCTCTGGCCGTTGCGGCCATTTGGAGAGTCAACCAGCAGATAAAAGACCTTTCTCTCTCTGCTTCTGCCTCTGCCTCTCTGCAACTCTGCCTTTCAAATACATAAATCTTTTTTTAAAGATTTATTTTAAATCTTTTTTAAAAGATTTATTTATTTATTTGAAAGTCAGAGTTATACAGAGAGAGAAGGAGAGGTAGAGAGAGAGAGGTGTCTTCTATCTACTTGTTCACTCCCCATTGGGCTGCAATGGCCAGAGCTGAGCCGATCCAAAGCCAGGAGCCAGGAGCTTCTTCTGGGTCTCTCACGTGGGTGCAGGGGCCCAAGGACTTGGGCCATCTTCTATTGCTTTCCCAGGCCATGGCAGAGAGCTGGATAGGAAGTGGAGCAGCCAGGACTCGAACCAGCGCCCATCTGGGATGCTGGCAGTGCAGGCAGCATCTTTACCTGCTACACCACAGTGCCAACCCCTCAAATAAATAAATCTTTAAAAAAAATGGGGGTGGGAGGCCAGCGTTGTGCTGCAGCAAGTTAGGCCACTGCTTGCAACACCGACACTCTGTATTAGAGAACTGGTTGAGTCCTGACTGCTCTGCTTCCAATTCAGATCCGTACTAATGTTCTTGGAAAGGCTACAGAAAGGTACCTGGGCCCTTGCCACACATGTGGGAGACCAGGATGGAGTTCTGGGTTCCTGGCTTCAGCCTGGCCAAGACCTAGCTATTGCGGCCATTTGGGGAGTGAACTAGCAGATGAGGATCTCTCTCTCTCTTTCTCACTGTTTCTACCGTTCTCTGACATTCTGCCTTTTGAATAAACAATTTTTTTTAATATGGGTGGATGTTTGATACAGAAGTTAAAATGCTGCTTGAGACACCCACACCAGGAATTGGATTGCCTGGGTTCAAGTCCCAGTTCCACTCCCAATTCCAGTTTCCTGCTAATGAACATCCCGGGAGACAGCAGGTGATGGGCCGAGTACTTGGATCCCTGTCACCTATGAGGGAGACCTGGACTGAATTCTGGGCTCCTAGCTTCTCTAGCTGTTGCAGACATTTGGAGATTGAATTAGATGATGCTAGATCTTTCTCTTATCTCTGTCTCTCACTCCCTATGTCACTTTGTCTTTCAAATAAAATGAAAATAAATAATAAATTAAAATAATCCACATTAAAGCACATTAGCTTAAGCAACCACTTAGGGTGCCTGCATCCAATACCCTTTTTTTTTTTTTTTTTTTTTTTTTTGACAGGCAGAGTGGACAGTGAGAGAGAGACAGACAGAGAGAAAGGTCTTCCTTTGCCGTTGGTTCACCCTCCAATGGCCGCCACAGCTGGTTGTGCTGCAGCCGGCGCACCGTGCTGATCCGATGGCAGGAGCCAGGTGCTTCTCCTGGTCTCCCATGGGGTGCAGGGCCCAAGCACTTGGGCCATCCTCCACTGCCTTCCCGGGCCACAGCAGAGAGCTGGCCTGGAAGAGGGGCAACCAGGACAGAATCCGGCGCCCCGACTGGGACTAGAACCTGGTGTGCCGGCACCACTAGGTGGAGGATTAGCCTATTGAGCCGCAGCGCCGGCCCCAATACCCACTTCTGATCCAGCTTCCTGCTCATGCTTACCTGGGAGGCAGCAGATGATGATTCATGCCCTTGGGTCCCTACCACCTACATGGAAGACCCAGGTGGAATTCCTGGCTCCTTACTTGGGCCTAACCCAACCCAGGGAATTGTGGGTATTTGGGAAGTGGATCAGCAGACAGAAAATCATCTCTCTGTATCTCTCTCTTTCAAATAAATATAAATAAATAAACTTTTAAAATAATTTGAAAAGTCAAAGCTTCACACAGAGCCGCTGAGTTCACTCCGACTCTGTGATACAGGGGTTGTATCACCTGCGGGTAGACACAGAGAATCGGGAAATGACATGTCAGGACTCAGCACCAGGCACAGCTCCAGAATCGACATTCTACTCAAATGTCAAAAGAGGACAGGACTGGGTCAGAAGTTGGGTTCAGGGCCCAGTGATTTTCTCTTATTCCAGAAACACAACATCAAGTGATTAAAAATTGTTACCGACAGTCTGGGAAAAGGCTGTTCCTCTCGAGCTTCCAGCTCCATGACACTCACTGACTTTCCTTTGGGCCTTCCTCTCAATCCCTCTGCAGTAGAAATCCTCCTGGAGAATGAATGTATCAAACAAGGAATTTAGAAAGGTAACAACTCAGAATGCCAGCTGATGAACTAGAAACCTGATTGCCCTGGCTTTCTAGTCCAAGGACAAACGGGATGTTCTCCGGATTGGCAGCCCTGTAATGCCAGGCACTTTGAACCCAGTAATCACTGCGCACCAGGGATGGATAAAGCAAATGCACTTAGTGCATTCTTTTCATTCCGTCCTTCTAACACTCTGGAAGGTGGAGATTTCAGTAAGTTTGTATTTATTTGTTTCAAAAACAAACAAACAAACAAACTTACCAGGTTATGTCACACAATGAGACTTTACTATAATAATACTTAGCATGATCAACTTGTCATTATTTTTAAAGGAATTGAACATGGTATGGTATGTAGGAACTACCATTTGGTTTGTCAACATGGAATAACAAGCTCAAAGTAATTAATGAGTGATAATGACCTAAACACAAAAAGGCTTCTATCTCTCAAGCAACAGGAAGCCAAGAGCATGGAATTTGGTGCAGTGAGTGGTTGATACCACCAACCTGTATCAGAGTGCCTGGATTCAAGTCTCAGCTCTGCTTCCAATTCCAGCTTCCTGCTAATGCACACACCCTTGCAGGCAGGAGGTCCCTGGCACACGTGTGGGACATCTGGATTGAGTTCTAGGCTCCTGGCTTTGGTGTGGCCCAGTTCTGGCTGCTGCAAATATTTGGGGGGTGGGGGGATTAGACCAGTGGCTGGAGGATCTCTCTGTCTCTCTCTGCCTTTCAAATAAATAAAAAATAAATTAATTTAAAGCAAAAACAAGATATAAGGTGGAAGATATCTGGCATTACTTCCATATCTCAAAAATCTCCAGGTTAAGATCTCTAGAATTCTAGACTTCCTGTCTTTCCTTGTAGTTCCAAAAGGACTGCTGAAACAAAAGCCACTTTGCTGTCAAAGCTGAGGCAGCCTTTCTTGAAACTCAACCAATGTCTTCTACTTAAATTCTAGTGGTCATTCTCAGCTTCAGTAGAAGCTAGGAAATTTATTTTTTTTTTCTGGGTACACTGCTGTCCAAAATAAAACAGGTTCTGACAGTAAGAAAGAAAGGAACTGATTTTTAGCAGGCAGCTGCAGTTGCTGCCACAAGGTGAAGATAATCACACTTTAGCAATGGAAAACATAACCAAAGGGGCCAGCATTTGGTGCAGCTAAGTCACCAGTTGGGATGCCCGTAACACATATCAGAGCAGCCACGTTCAAGTCCTGTCTCCACTCTGATCCAAGCTTTCTGCCAATGCATACTCTGGGAGGCAGCAGATGATAGGTCAAGGAGCTGGTCCCTGCTAGCCACAGAGGAGACTCAGATTGAGGCCTGGGCTCCAAACTTTGGCCTGGCCAAACCCCAGCTGTTTTGGATATCTGGGGAGTAAATCAGCAGGTGGAAGATCTCTTTTCAAATAAAATGAAAACAGATATTTTAACAGGAAAAAAAAAAGTACATAACCAGAAAGCACCTTGAGCAATTCATGACATCATAATAATAATCCCACAAACATTTCCTGAGACTGTACTCTTTATATGCCTTACTCTACACTGTCTCATTGAAACCTCACAACACTATGATGTAGGTAGTATCGCTATCCCCCCTCTCCAGGGGAAAAACGAGGACCCCGAGAATCTCCAAAACATGTTCAAGGCCACTCAACCAGCCAGTGCCAGAGCAACTGAGATTAAACCCAGGTCCTTCTAGAGCCCAAGATTTTGCTGTCAGTTGGCAACACTTTCCCCTTTCCCTCTGAAACAAGGGAGTGATCACAACATTGCCAACTGCTGCCAACTGCGAGACCTCCTGGGAAAATGTGGTTCAGCGCCTTTCTCAGGACAGTGTCCTTGATCCCAAAGTGCTCTGCTCTTGCTGCCAGTGAGTGATTTCCTCAGTGCCATTTCCATTTTCTGTTTGGCCAGGAGTGCCCTGATCTTTGCATTTGTCATTCTAATATGCATTGGGAGTGCAACAATTTGGGGACCTTTTCCAGGTAAATGTCTAAGGGTGACATTTATTACAAGTTTTTGATAGCTGAAATGACAGGAAAGGAAATAAGATCTCAAGTATGCTCTTTGTTATTATGTTTCAGAGTGCCATCAATTTGTGTCCATCACAGGGCTGGTGGTCTATAACTGAAGCCATAAACTTGCAACAATGTTGCTAAATGGCTCTAGAGGATGCAAAAAAGGTTTCATTTTTCCATTTCAATATGCTTTATAATTCAACAAAAATTTCCCTCCACTTTGCTTCCTGGATCCCACAGAAAGTATTAAATAGCTTAAGAGCAGGGCAACACCATGAGGCATGTTCGGCATGACAACATTTTTAAAATATAGAGCTCATTATATTAAATATGTCTCATTATTGTAATTATGCTGTTACAACTGCAGTGAATAACACATCACATCATTATTTAATTTTATGGAAAAAGCCTTTCTAAATTGTTTGTTGACAGATAATATCAGATTTCATTTCTATTTTGCCTGAATTACAGCCTGTGCTAGGGTTCTGTACTTCACTTTAATATTTCTTAAAACGTGCTTATGCATTAGACTCCAACTTGATAATACTTTATTTCAGCATGAGATGGACCAGTAATTGCTTGGAAGGCAGGTTTGATAGTACAGCAACTTTTGTGTTCTAGTGCAGCAATGAAGATGCCAGTTTCTAAACTGCCTTGAAGAATATCTGTGGAGTGTGATATTACCGAGTCTTTCAAAGTGTATTTTTGAGTAATATGTAATGGCCTAGGAAACTGGGTATTAAGTAAAATGGGTAGGTTACACAGCTCCACAAACAGCCTAATCTCAACTAGATGTTTTTAAACATAGATTTGGTAGAGCAGTTAAGACACTGGTTGGGATGGCTGTTATCCCTTATTAGAGTGCCTGGATTTCAATTCTGGCCCTACTTCTGATTCCAGCTTCCTTCTAATGTGCACCCTGGGAGACAGCAAATGATGGCTCCAGTACCTTGGCCCCTGTCATGTACATGGGAGATAGGAATTGAGGTCCAGGTTTCTGGCTCTGTCCTGGCTCAGCCTTAGTTGTGGGCATTTGCAGAATAAACCAGCAGATGGAAAATCTGTCTCTATCTGCCTGTCTCTCTACCTCTCAAAATTTTTTTAAAAGATTTATTTATTTATTTGAAAGGAAGAGTTACAGAGAGGGAGAGGCAGAGGCAGAGAAAGAGAAGTCTTTCACCCGCTGGTTCACCCCCAAAATGGCTGAAATGGCCAGATCTAAGCTGATCTGAAGCCAAGAGCCAGGAGCCTCCTCTAGCTCTCCCACTCCCGTGCAGGGGCCCACGCACTTGGGCCATCCTGTACTGCCTTCCCAGACCATAGCAGAGAGCTGGATGGGAAGTGGAGCAGCCGGGACCCAAACAGGTGCCCTTAAGGGATGCAGGCACCACAGGCGGCGGCTTTAGCTGCCATAGCACAACGCTGGCCCCTCAAATAAAATTTTTAAAAATTATAATTAAAATATATAAAAATACAAAAATGGCAAGATTATTTCTCTAACTAGTACAGTTAAAGATTATTTTAATCACTGTTTTGTGTTCTTTTTGTATTTTTAAACTAGATATTTTATTTTTTGAGATAGCACATTTTTAGTTTACATTATAGTCTAAGGTTTAATGGCTCTTCTAAAAAGAGTTCAACAAATAAGAAGTAACAAGACCACAGACCAGCAGAGAAACAGGCAGGGATATAAATAACAAGCAAATCTCTTGTATCTTCTAAACATTGTAAGGATGCAATTTCTTTTTTTTTTTTTTTTTCCCCAGAGTGAGCAGAATTAGATTTACTGAGCACACAACAAGGGAGTAGCATGGCAGGCAGGACAGCTGGAAGCGACTACTGCTGCCATATGCTGCAAGGGAGCAGCGGACAGGACAGCCAGAGGCTGTCAGCTGCCAGTATGCAATTTCTCTAATTGAAAGGAGTTATTATTTTAAAAGTTAATTTGAAAGGGTAGTGGGTGATGCTACAGATGACACTGATTGCACAGCAATAAAACATTAACCAGCAGCTAACATCTCATTCCATGGGCAGCTTTAGTCCAAGTTTACCAAGCATCTTCAAAGGCCGTGGTTAAAACAAACAAGGGCTGCCACTGCGGCATCGCAGGTTAAACTGCTGTCTGCAGTGTCAGCATCCCATATGGGTGCCGGTTCAAAACCCAGCTACACTGCTTCCAATCCAGCTCTCTGCTAATGTGCCTGGAAAAGCAGCAGATGGCCCAAGTACTTGGGCCCCTGCACCCACGTGGGAGACCCGGATGGGGTTACAGGCTCCTAGCTCCTGGCTTTGGCCTGGCACAGCCCTAGACATTGTGGCTATTTGGAGAGTGAAACAGCAGATGGAAGATCTCTCTCTGTCTCTCCCCTGTCTCTCTATGTATCTCTGCCTTTCAAATAAATAAATGAATGAATAAATTTTAAAAAATAAAAATAATAAAACAAACACCCAGGCCCCCTTTCTAGCTTCCATCTTCCAGGAACTCCATGTGACTCTCTCACTCCATGCAGACCAGGCTGCCCCGATCAGGTGCTGCTTGGCCTGTCCTTTCTATTTGCATTGTCACTTAAGGATGTCTTCCTCAAGTCTCTCTTTGACCTTATTCAGGCTTCTGGCCAGCCTTGGATCCTTCCTTTGCCTAACCTATCAGTTGAAATCTTTTAAAAATTCAAGGGAGTTATTGTTTGATGACTATAGAGTTTCACATTTGCAAGTTGAAAATGTTCTGCAGATCTGTTTCATGACAATATGAATACTGAATTCCTGAACTGTGCACTTACAAATGGTTAAGATGGGGCAGACAATTGGTACAGCAGCTAAGACACTACTTTAGACACCCACATCCCATATCTGAGTGCCTGGTTTGAGTACCAGCTCCTCTACCTTCAATCCACCTTCCTGCTAATGCACACCCTGGGAGGCAGCAGGTGACAGCTCAAGTACTTTGGTCCCTGACACCCACACGGGTAACCCAGATTGAATTCTAGGCTCTCAGTTTCTACCTGGTCCAGCCCCAGAAGTTACAGCCATTCGTGAAGTGAACTGGTAGATGGAAAAATCCCCACATGTCTATTAAATAATATTTTAAAAGTATAATAATACTTTAAATAATTAAATAATTATTTAAATTATTAATATGTTTAAACAAGCAAAAAATGGTTAAGATGGGGATGAGTATTTGGTTTAGGTGTTAAGATGCTATTGAGCCGAATTTGGGAAGGTGAAGTTATCAAATTACGATGCCTTTGCCCCCCTTATCTCTAGGCCTCTGTAGTAACCGGTGTCATGGTAACTAACAGGTTCTCCTGCTTGACTAGCTGCCCACAAGTCTATTATGTAATGGTTTGGCTCTGTGCCACTGTTGTCTGTAAGCCCACATGAGCAACTGGGGGGCATGGCTAACTGCAGCTGCTTGTGGATGTATGTGGCCATGCATATGTGGCTACTGGTGGATGTGTGGCTGTACATAGCTAAGTGTGGATGCATGTAAATGGTTCTATATGTGTGTTCAAATGCCACCAGACACAAATACAGGTATCTCCTGCAGCTCTGCCTCCCTTGGGGACAAGTGACTGTTCCTGTCCATTTCTCACTGCCACTCTGAGTAAAAGGGATATAAACCCACAAATGGCTCCAGGTTGTTCTCTGATCTGTCAAAATCTAAATCTGCTTGTCCTGAGCCCTAAGCCCCAGGCATACAGACACCCTGAGTTGGAGAGTGCCTGAGTTGGAAGATATGCCTTTCCCTCCTGACTCCAGCTTCTTGCTAAATGCAGGACCTGAGAGGCAGCAGTGATGGTTCAAATAATTGGGCTCCAGCACCTACAAGGGAGACCTGAATTGAATTCCTGGCTCCTGACTTCAGCTTGGACCTTGGCCCAGGTCTTCCAGTTCCAAGCATTTGGGGAATGAACTAGTGGACAGGAACTTTTTATCTCTCTGTAAAAAAAATAAATAAATGTTTTGGGGAGAAAAAGGTAGAAATGAGGATTTTAAATTTTTAAAAGATTTTTCATTTATTTTTATTTACTTGAAAGGCAGAGCAACAGAGAAAAAGACAAAGACAGAGAGAAAGAACCTCTATCCACTGGTCACTCCCCAAATGCCCACAACAGCTATGTATGGGCCAGGTCGATGTTAATAATGCAGAACTCTGGGGGCTGGCGCTGTGGCGCAGCCGGTAAAGCTGCCACCTGCAGTGCCAGCATCACATAAGGACTCCGGTTCAAAGTCCTGGCTACTCCACTTCCTATCCAGCTCTCTGCTGTGGCCTGGGAAAGCAGAAAATGGCCCAAGTCCTTGGGCCCCTACACCCACATGGGAGACCTGGAAGAAGCTCCTGGCTCCTGGCTTTGGACTGACCCAGCTCCAGCCATTGCGGCAAATTGGGGAATGAATCACCAGATGGAAGAACTTTCTTCTCTCTCCCTCTCCCTCTCCCTCTCCCTCTCCCTCTCCTTCTTTCTCTGTGGTAACTCTTTCATATAAATAAATAAATAAATCTTAAAAAAAAAAAAAAAAGAATGCAGAACTCCATCCAGGTCTCCATGTAGGTGGCAGGGACCCAAGTACAAGAGCCACCATTGCTGCTTCCAGGGTGTACATTAGCAGGAAGCTGGAATGGGGAGAAGAGCTGGGACTGAAACCCAGGCACTCCAATATGGCACATGGGCATCCCAAGCAACATATCAACTACTGCACCAAACACCTGCCCTGTTAAAGCAGACAGTTTTAAACACTGATTTTCTTTCTTTTTTTTTTTGAAAGGCAGAGTTACAGAGAGGCAGAGGCAGAGAGAGAGAGAGAGAGAGAGAGAAGGTCTTCCATCCACTGGTTCACTCCCCAGATGGCTGCAACAGCAGAGCTGCGCTGATCCAAAGCAAAGGGCCAGGAGCTTCTTCCAGGTCTCCCACATGGGTGCAGTGGCCCAGGGACTTGGGCCATCTTCCACTGCTTTCTCATGCCATAGCAGAGAGCTGGATGGGAAGTGGAGCAGCCAGGACTCCAACTGACACTGATATGGGATGCCGTCATTGCAGACGGTAACTTTACCTGCTGTGCCACAGCGCTGGCCCCAACACTGATTTTCAAAATGAAAAATATAATCCAATTTCAGGAAAAAAAAAAGTTAATCTATACACTAAAATTTACAGTTGCCAAACAACCAAAAAATATTACACTGTTTCACTGTGTTCAATTTGTAAACAACTAAAAACCCCAGGTGGTGGAATGGAATAAAGAAGCTGAAATGACATAAGTTCTGTGTCTTCATCTTTACCACGACTGTGCCGTCAGGCTGGACAAATCTGTGTTTCAAATCTGCTGTCTAAATGCAGGCATATGTGGCATCACAAGGGGAAAACACAAATTGCACCAAAGATTTGGAACCACGATCCCTTAATCTCCAAAGGAAGCACAGCTGAGTCAAGGATGGCACAGGGGCAATTCTGTCATTGGAATTTTGTCAGTTATCTTTGGTGTAAACAATATTGTCTAGTAAAGAATAAGCAATGAAAATGAAAATAAGAATAATTAAATTTTATGTAAAATATGTCTATTAAAAATAAATGTTATGTGAGCAGGTGTCTGGCTTAGCAGTTAAGCTGCCACTGGGGATACCCATAACCCATATCAGAGTGTCTGCCTGGATTCACTTCTGATTCCAACTTCCCGTTAATGAGCACCGTGGCAGACAGCAGGTGATGGCTCACGTAGTTGGGTCCCTACAATCCACGTGGGAGACCCCGATTGAGTTACTGGCTCCTGGCTTTCACCTGATCCAGCCCTGGCTGTTGAGGGCATTTGGGGATTGAATCAGCATATGGGATATCTCGGCCTCTCTGTGTCTGCTTCTCTGCCTTTCAAGTAAATACAATAAATAAATATATTTTAAATAAACTTTACAAATATAAAATGTTGGCCGGCACTGTGGCTCACTTGGTTAATCCTCCACCTGCGGTGCCAGCACCCCATATAGGTACCGGGTTCTAGTCCCGGTTGCTCCTCTTCCAGTCCAGCTCTCTGCTGTGGCCCGGGGAGGGCAGTGGAGGATGGCCCAAGTGCTTGGGCCCTGCACCCGCATGGGAGACCAGGAGGAAGCACCTGGCTCCTGGCTTCGGATCGGTGCAGCTCCAGCTGTGGCGGCCATTTGGGGAGTGAACCAACGGAAGGAAGACCTTTCTCTCTGTCTCTCTCTCTCACTGTCTATAACTCTACCTGTCAAATAAAAAAAATTAAATTAGAAAACAAATATAAAATGTTTTACATATAAAGTATGTATTTCTAATATGTAATTTTATAAAATTAAAACTCAGAGTAACCACAGCAATTATTTAGAACTTAAACCAAGGAAACATGTTTTGAGGGGAGTCGTCTTTCATCACTGACCTTGTTTAAATTGCTGGCACATGGTGGTAACAAAAAGCAGAAGGGCTCCGATTGGTTTTATCATTGCTTTTAAATCCCCGGCGCACTCCTTGTTGCCCACACTTGGGTGGATGATCCTTATTACACCCCCTCCGGCACACCGCTGCTAGATGGTTTAAGCTCCTTTAAATTGTGTTTCTTAATTTCACCATCCGCTGTAAGACATTTGGGTTTTACTGTGGAAACACTGGCGAGTCACCTTTTTCAATAAACCTGAAATTCCTTATGTGATAAAAACGATCGCTTAATGACTTATCTTTCCGTGTACCTACTTTCTTAAATTGAAACTCAGCGGAAAAGGGAGTAGAAAGGGACACGAGGGTGGGAAGTGCGAATTGCTGGAGAATCCACACGGCTGGTGCCCTTGGGCAAGGAGGGCAGGGGAGGCAGGTGGGCAGCTGGGCAGCAATGCTCTGTCCAAAGTGGGCAGAAGGTAGAGGGAGCAGCCACCATGTAACCAGCTCCAGCTAGGCTCTTACCTGCACCCGGGCCTAGTGTACCCAGATCTGCTCATTTTTTCATGAGAAGTCAATAACCTAGATAGCTGTTTCGGATTTCCTGATTTTTAAATGTTGGACGTTGATTCGAACGCTAGAAAACACGGCTGTGCCTACAAAACACATCCACAGCTGCACGCACCTCCGGGCTACCGATTTCCAAATGAAAAATACAAGACTAGCAGCTGAACCAGCTTAAAGAGGTTGGAAAAATATGCTTTAATCTCTGATCCTTTTCCTTTCCTCAAATGTGATGTCTGGGGGAAATCCGTACACATTTACATCACATTCATAATTATGTGCAGTTTAACAAGAGAAGTAGCATAATTAGGGAAGGTATTTGAGAGTGGCCTGAACTCCCAATGCAGACTTTTCTCAGGAAACAGGGCCAAGCATGGTGTCACCCAGATGCCTGCTGACTAACTGATGTAGAACAGATTTATTTAACCACTGGCAAACCACATTTCCTTTTCCAGGGCAATAAGTTAAAAGATTATTTACCTCCCTTGGTTACAAAGAGAGGAAATACTTGTTCCTAGACTCAGGGCAGCTGTGAGCTGATCTTGTGGAGCAATCATTAAACCTGGAGGAGTCGGAGCACCCGGCCTCCCAGCAGACTTGGGCCGCGCCTGCCACAGCCGCAGGCAGGAGCACCTTCGGAGGAGGGGAGGTGAGTACTTGCTTCACCCCCAAGGCTGCATCCTCGCACCCCACCTTGCTTCTCAGTCTCTAAAGGGTTCCCAGGGAAGCCCACCCGAATCCCAGCTCTACACCTCATTTGAACTGGCATTTGACATATTAAAAGTGAAGATTTATTCAAGTCAAAGATAAAACAGGGACTCTTCCCCACATTTCTGTGGGTACTTAGAGCTCCTTGTGTCTTGATGAAAAAGGTGTAGAGAGAAGCTGAAGGCTGGACTCCTGCACGGGGCAATACAGAGTTAAAAGCAAGCCTCTGGAGAAGGCTTTGTTCTCGGCAGCCTTAAGGAGTTCTCTGTTTTAAGCTTCATGAAAACGCCCCTGTCTGCCTGGGTTGCCATGGCTCCATGCTGCGACTTCCCCCCTCCCTCTACTTGCACACCCAGGGCACTGAGTCTGCAACTCTGAATCCATTTCAATCCTTGGGAAAAGCTTTGCCGGGTTGCAGCCCCACTGTTCAACCAGCTATACAGTCTGTTCTCCACACTGCCTACCCTGAAGAAACAGCCCTGAGAAGGGCACTGGCGCAGATGTTTGGCAAAACAGTTACGATGCCACTTGTGATGCCTGCATTCCATATCAGCGTGCCTGGGTTCAAGTCCCAGCTCTGCCAGCTGCCTGCTAGCATGCACCCTGAAGGCAGCAGGTGATGGCTCAGGGTCATCCAGGTGGGACTGGACTGGGTTCTGGGCTCCTGGCTTAGGCCTCATCCAGGCCCGGCTGCTGGGGGCATTTGGGAAGTGAACCAGCGAATAGAAGCTCTCTGTCTCTGTCTCTTGTCTTCCAAATAAATTTTAAAAATGTTTTTAAAAATCAAGGGCACTTCGCCGGCGCCGCGGCTCACTAGGCTAATCCTCCACCTTGCAGCGCCGGCACACGGGGTTCTAGTCCCCTTCGGGGCGCCGGATTCTGTCCCGGTTGCCCCTCTTCCAGTCCAGCTCTCTGCTGTGGCCCGGGAGTGCAGTGGAGGATGGCCCAAGTGCTTGGGCCCTGCACCCCATGGGAGACCAGGAGAAGTACCTGGCTCCTGCCTTTGTATCAGTGCAGTGCGCCTGCCGCAGCACGCCAGCCGCAGCGGCCATTGGAGGGTGAACCAACGGCATAGGAAGACCTTTCTCTCTGTCTCTCTCTCTCACTGTCCACTCTGCCTGTCAAAAATAAATAACAATTTAAGGGCACTTACACAAGGAGAGGTCATCAATCTGTATGACAAAAAAGAAACATCCCTTGTCTTTACATTTTTCACAATCTACTTTTTTATAATACAATGTCTGGTGGTCTATCCCCTTTTCAGTTGTCTCTCACAGACAACAAAGATTAGACATGACAATTAAAAAATTTTATATGCTCAACTGTAATGCCTTAAACATATGTTTCTGAATCTCTATCATCAGAATATTTAGGTGTCTGGACAAGTATGCTATTTTAACATCAAACAAAAAAAGGGAAGGAGTAATGATAACCTTGACCATATTTTTAAAAATGGGAAGCCAAGTTGTTGATCTGGATTTTTTCAGGTGGGGTCGACAAAGGTGGGAAGGAATGACCCACTTATAATTGCCCAACCCACAGGCTGGTGCTGTGGCATAGGTTAAGCTGCCATCTGCAGTGCCCCCATCCCAAATGGGGTGCTGGTTCTTTGTCCCAGATGCTCCATTTCCAGCTAATGTGCCTGGAATCCAGCTCCCAGCTAATGTGCCTGGGAAGGCAGTGGAAGATGGCCCACCCCTGCCACCCATGTGGGAGACCCGGAGGAAGCTCTTGGATCTTAGTTCCTGGCTTTGGCCCGGCCCGGCCCAGTACCAGCCAATGCAGCCATTTGGAGAGTGAACCAGTGGATGGAAAATACCTCTCTCCCTCTCTCCTTCTCTCTCTCTCCCTCTCCCCTCCACATTTCAAATATAAAATAAAATTGCCAAACCTCACTCCATTAGAGCTCTATTAAGATTAATACGAATCTCTTCTTTTACAATGTAATTACCTCCAAAAGAACAATTCTCTAACAGTAAAACTTCAGTGGAAAAAAGCTAATTTTATGGAATAAGAAATCCTATTTCACAAAATAATGACAGAGACACTGTACATCTTCCCCTCTGAGCACAGCTGGCCCTCAGATCTGCATGTACATATATACTTGTCTTAAGAAACTCCTGAAATACCAACCATCACAGGCTCCTGAGAATTTTCAAATGACTTAGAAAGTGGTGAAACTGCTACAGTCCTTTTATCCAGTAGAACTTATTGCCACCCCTTCTTCCCATTCACTGAATTCCGTAAACATCTCTTCCAACAAGGAGATGGATGGCCCAATGCATAAGTCTTAATAAAAGTGAGTGGTCTTAGGAGTCAGGATGTCTGGGACCAAACCCCAACTCTGCCGTGTACAGATCTCCTATTAACTGATGCACCAAACAGCCTGGCGAGTGTCAGTACGCCTTAAAGCTCAAGTGTGGCAACTAGGTTATCTTTTAGCACATCTGAACACTTCAGCTCAGGCTCCTTCTGCATAACTGATCAGCTCCAAGTCGTGCTTTCAGAGAATGTCAATGAGGAGTTCTTCCAAAGTACAGCAAAGGGCAGCGCTTATTAGCAGAGATTTTATTGACTGCCCCTTGTATTTACTATTTTTGGATTAATTTCAAAGCTAAACAAGCATGTTTCAACTCTTGTTTTAAGTGGTGGTTAAAACATTAAAAAATGCATACGCTTAGCTGGGTTTCATTGCTTACTGTGCTTAAACTATGCTTGACAAGCAGTACAATCTTTTTTTTTTTTTTTAAAGATTTATTTGATAGTCTTCAAATAGTACTTTACACCTTGTGCGTCTGTGTGGGGGCAAACTGTTGAAATCTTTACTTAGTATATACTAAGTTGATCTTCTGTATATAAAGATAATTAAAAATGAATCTTAATGAAGAATGGGATGGGAGAGGGAGTAGGAGATGGGATGGCTTGCAGGTAAGAGGGTGGTTATGGGGGAGAAGAACCACCATAATCCAAAAGTTGTACTTTCAAAATTTATATTTATTAGATAAAAGTTTTCTAAATAAAAGAGAAGTAGAGCCAGAGAGAGAAGGAGAGGGAGGGGTAGAGGGAGGGGGAGGGGGTCTTTCATTTTGCTGGTTCACTCCCTAAATGACTGCAACGGCTAGAGCTTAGCTGATCCGGAGCCAGGAGCTTCTTCTGGGTCTCCCACATGGGTGCAGGGCCCCAAGGAGTTGGGCCTTCTTCCACTGCTTTCCCAGGCCATAGCAGAGAGCTGAATTGGAAGTGGAGCAGCCGGGACTCAAACTGACACCCATATGGGATGCCAGTGCTGCAGGCTGGGGCCTTAACCCTCTGCGCCACAGCGCCAGTCTCAACCAGTACAATCCTTAATATTGTTTCTTTTGGTGTGTTCTTTGCAAGTTTCAAAAAGTTTTCAAGTTTTCAAAAAGTTCATGGAAAAGTAGAATTACAGGATGCTTCTTTTGATGCAAACATTTTTGAAATCCATGCAGATACAGGATCTTCAAAAGTTCATGGAAAGTGTAGATAAAAAACTATGCCTAGACTTCAAATTTTTTTGTGCCAAAATAAACTTTTTAATTTCTCCCTGAGATTTTTTAAATACCCAGGTATGCTTTTCTATCAATGCTTCCCACTGAAAAGGAATCTATTAATAGTGTTTATGTTGGGGCCGGCGCCATGGCTCACTTGGTTAATCCTCTGCCTGCGGCGCCAGCATCCCATATGGGCACCGGGTTCTAGTCCCGGTTGCTCCTCTTCCAGTCCAGCTCTCTGCTGTGGCCCGGGAAGGCAGTGGAGGATGGCCCAAGTGCTTGGGCCCTGCACCCACATGGGAGACCAGGAGGAAGCACCTGGCTCCTGGCTTCGGATCGGCGCAGCACCAGCCGTGGCGGCCATTTGGGGAGTGAAGCAACAGAAGGAAGACCTTTCTCTCTCTCTGTCTCTCTCTC